CCATCTGAGATATATTAAAGTAAGCTGTTTTCCCGTCTACTGTTCAAGTTTTGAGTGCCAGCTGACTCTTGTGAATACGAAACACAGCACCTTATGAATTTTAAATTGGTGTTTACCCACAGCATGCCGATTACACGGGTTTGAATCCAGGAAATTTCTCTTCTTTTTTTGTGTTTGGAAAGAATATGAATTATGATTTATCATTTAATTTTTAAGTACTTTACTAATAAAGACTTGTGCGGATTGTTTCATGTGCGCTTTGATGGACCTTTTTAGGAACTTTCAAGTTGCTAAGAAGTTCCACGGGGAACTTTAAAGAAACTTTAAAGCTGCTAAGAAGCTTCGCTGGGAACATCTTCGGAACATTGTTGGAGCCATATTTTTACCTTTGTCTGAAGTTCCTAAGAAGTGCTTAGGGATGCTTTTTGAAACTTTTTTTGAACCTCAAGTTGCTAAGAGCACGCATCGGAACTTTGTGGAGCCTTAAGTTCCTCGTGTGCTTTCTACACACTAAGATTTTGTTTTCGTGTTCGGTAAATTTTACCGAAATCAGAACAGCTGCATGTTCGGTAAAACTTTGAGCTTATTGTAAAGTCCATTGAATTAAAAAAAAAATACTTTCAAAACATGTTCAATCTTGTTTAAACGAGCTAATCTTGTCATTTTAATGTAGATTTAGTTTCAAAGTACCTGAAAAGCAATTGAACTAAATTGCATTAATTTTACCGAACAGGTCAGCGGTGCAGATTTCGGTAAAAATTACCGAAGTCGGCGATAATTTCTAAGTGTGTACACACTCACCAACGTTTTCCTTGTTCGGTAAATTTTTTAACCCAAAATAATCGGAAATGAATATTAATACAGATTTGTCGGAAATAATACTTTATCAACATTCGGCAATGTTCTGTCGAAGTGACGGTAATCTGGGTATTATATTGACGAACTCAGTAAAAAATATTATAGTAATAACTGTAAAACGAGGTAAATGCGGAATTCGGTAAAAATACCGAAAAACTGCAAATTACAAACACGTTTACCGAACTTCTGTAACTAATTCAAGGCTGTCAAATCAAAAGACGGTCAAGTGAAGTGTTGTAGTGAAAGTGCCAGTGAAAATCAACCGGAAAATCCAATGAAACAGTGCAGGTATGCTGCCAAATACAGGTGCGTGCATAATGCATCTACTGGAATCGGCATGAAATCAGCCACCTGCAAAAGTGACACTTCTGCGAGAAATGTTCTTACTATCATAATATACGATTACTATTTAATAACATCTCACAAATATTAATGTATAAAAAGCTTTAAATTTTAATCCACCGAAAAAGAAACAAAAAATACAAAAGATCGACGATTTTCATTAATTTCAGTAAAAAATTACTGAATCGTTCGGTAAAAAATTACCAAATTGTTGGTAGTTTTGACAATTGATACTATAGATTCCATAGATAAGCGGAGGCACAAAAAGTTGTTTTGGCGACCATGAAAAATAAATGATCTTACTGGCATCCGTGAAAAAGTTTATGCCATCATAGAGCTCTTCGTCGTGCAGTTTGTTTTGTTTCGCGCGTAAAAGTTCAAAATGAAGTGCAAAGCAAATCTTTGCAACAATGTATCGAGAAATGGTTTGCTTTATCTTTCCTTCTTCCGTTGTCCACAAAATAAATCGGAATGTGGAGTGTGGAAAGCGTTTTGTGTTCATAATATTACAATACTTCTCTCTCCAACAACACCATGATGACGTCATGCTCGTTTGGCTACACTAACTGACAGTTCGTTTGTCTGCATTATACTTTTCCTCTGCTTATCTATGCAATCTATAGTATCTATACCCAACAAACATTGCATGCTGAATAAGAGCTTATTAAGGCAAAAATATGCTTCATCAGCTCAAAAATGGCTTATTCAGCCATTATTCAGCTCAAATTGTTTGTTGGGTAGTTTTGACAGCTCATCAAAAAATCTGTTTACCGATCGTTCGGTAGTCATTTCGTTTACCAAAGTTCAGTTGTTGAAAGTTTGGTAAAACATTACCGAATATGGCTATTATTTCTAAGAGTGTGGCTTCTAAAGTAGTCAGAAAGTTCTGTCGGTAAAATGCCTAAAATCGAATACAACATATCAAGAAGACTGACAACACTTCCATTTTCTCAAACGACCGATATGAGATAAACAACAATCGCGTCATCTGCCGCTCAAAGGTAACTGCGCCGAACGAATTGGATAGCAAAAGTTCCATCCTCAAAAGAAAGATTCGTGTATTCGCTCATTTTTCTATGCGTTGCTTCCACCTTTGCTCAAGCGCAGCGCTGCTATGTTTGTCACTCAGATTCAGTCAAAGTTGTCAGTCTTCTTGGAATGTTGTCTTCGCTAAAATGGTCGTTTTTGTTTAATTTATTCAGTATCTGATATTTATTCACTATTAAATACATCCACTCATCTATGTTAATGGGTCAAACTTCGCAATTGCTTGTTTTAATAAACATAAATTCATTGCTAGAGACAATAAATCTGGAAATGCTTTTTCAATGAAACTTTTACGATTGCTAGCAAAGCAGTAATGTTGAAGTGGTTTTTATGGTGTTCAATCACAGATAAACAGGCGTAGTACTTCATTCAGGATCATAGTTCACGCATTTAATGATTTATTTATTAGGTCTGTTTGTCTGTGTTTCAATATTGTTCACCAATAATTTTGTGCATTCGATTGCATGTAATTGTGCTATGCTTTAAAGAACACTAGTAAGTAAATACAGTGAAAGTGTTTTACCTAGGAAGTTTTCGTTCTAAAATCATGAAATGGGGGGAATTCCTCTATGTCCGGACCCTAGTGATTTTTCGAAAACAAAGAGTGACGTCACTATCTGCAAAGGCAAACAAATGAGAGTTGTCAAAAGTTTCGACCTGTAAAAAAAAATAAACGGGAAGTGTAGTCGCGTGTTTGCCTAGTCTGCCTAGTCTGCCAGAAATCGGACAAATAAGGTTTTATGAGGTGTTCAACGTGCAAAGCCTGGACTCACAAGACTTGCGCAGGAATATTAAAGCGTCCCTTGACTTTTATGAATAATTGGTTTAAGCTTTAATAAAGAAGATCATCGTTTCCGAGCATATGGGACATTTTTTGTTCTGATTTAATTTCCACACTAAATGTTACCCATCATTAATTTGAATTGTTAAACGTTGATTCGTATGTTTTTTTTTACTTATGATATTGTTTTTCTTTGAATAACATGGGAAAATAAACGCCTTATCTCCAATACTTTTTAAGTTACTTTTCTCTATTTGTTTTAAAATTTCGTATTCAAAATGTCCTGATGGTTGAAGATTATTTCAGAAGATTATTTTTATTTGAATTAGCTGAAATGAGTATTTGCAACCTTGTATCAAAGTCTGCTTAGACTTTAGGGGGTAGAGAAGAGAATTCAGAAAAGTCTACTGTAGTCTACGAGGAAGGAAGGAGAGGTTATAAAGTACAATTGTGGTCTACGTAGATTCCCAACTAACATTTTCAGCTTTGTAAGCCAACTTTTCCAGCGTTGTGCTGTAAAATTGCTGAAAAGAAGCTGCAGATACAGCTACAAGCAAAAGCTAGCAAAATAGTTTTGAAGAGCGTTTACTCAACTTTCTCACAACCATTATTCAATTTGTCAGCCGCACTGAATAACATCAGCCAATAAACGCTAATGTCACTTCTATACACACAGTAATCAACTTTCCACTTATAGCTGCAAAACAAAGCTAACAAAGTGAATATATTACTCATTTGATGGCTTCTACACAACCAACAACTCTTGCTGAATAACATAAACTTAAAAAGTGCCTTTTCAACAACTAAACAACCTGTACTCAGCTTATAAACTGTGTTAGAGCAACTTCGGAAGCATTTTCACAGTCAACTAGGTTTATTTTTAGACGTGTGTAGTTTTACAGGTTTTACTCTGCTCTTTTATAACTAGTCGAGAAAAGTGATTCATGTGCACCATTATAAAGCCTCTACTCAGCGATTTTGTTGTAGAAGGGAATGTTGATTTGTTTACATAAGTTCAAAGTGTTGGCGTAGCACAGTTGGTAGTGTCAAGGTTTGCCAATGAGGCCGTCTCGAGTTCGATTCCAGGTTCCGGTGCAGGGTAAATAATTTGGTGATGATTTGTATGTAACTAATTTCGATTAATTTGATTCACAGCAAAATAAACTCAATAAATTCCTTCATAAAAAAGCGTAAACAGTATTTAACCCGGCTTCAAGAGAAAGCTGTGTAGTGATTATTGGACTACCGGGAAAAGGTTGAATAAGCGCCTTTCAAGTTCACACACAACTAAAAAGCAGGATAACAGCTGTATAGAAGCGTTAATGGATATAAAATAAGAGCTTCTCCCGACTGTTCCAACAGCCATAAGTAGCTGACTAAGTTCGCCAGATTTGCGTGTATAGAGGTTGAGTAAAGGTTGCTTCACATCGTATAACATTTGAATACAGCTTGAGATTGTATAAATGAAATGAGCAAAGCGTTTACATTGTGAAAATTGTTAGTTGGGAAGCGTTTACATTGTGAAAATTGTTAGTTGGGTTATGAACGGCCCACAGTAAAAAAAAATTAAACATACCAAATGATATTTGACTTCATCACTGGTACTTGGAATGGTACTATTTCACGCCACGCGTCAGCATACTTACACGCAGCATGCGCAGGATTGATGCCAAAATATTCATTGATGAAAACGCTTTGCTCCTAATATAAATTTCCCGGTGTTGGTAAGATTGTTGATATCGATCGTCAACCGAACAGAACAATGTTGAGCGGGGCGCGTCTATAGCCACTGAAACTGTCTTTCAAAAAACGTTTGTGTACGCAATTTTATCAAAGATCTTACGTCATACTAGGATGGAACTGGCGAAAAGTGTGGAAACTCACAGTAGCTTTACACACGGCACGCATGTATTGGTGTGATTTTAGAAAGTCAACCGGCTTAATTTTCCTCATTTTCTTGTGCCTGCCCAAACCAACGGGTGAGCTCATTCGGTGTGATCGTGCAAAGAGATAGCTTAGAAAGACGTAGTGTGGTCTTTAGAGAAAATAGATTTCATTCCGAAAATGGAATAAATTGAACTGCTTCGGTGGCATAATTCATTTGTTCGTTCACGTGTTCGATAAGAATAAGTACGGATAGGAAATACCATTTTCTTGGGCTGTACCGGCAGAAAAAGCAATAAATCGAAGATTCCCTGAGAGGAAACGGATTCCGTGATATTTTAGTGAAAATCCACCGAGTGGAATAATTCTTAGGTCTGCAATTTTTCTGCCTTGATCATGGTATCGGATGCTGAGGGAGCTTCGGCAAGCCCGTCAAAACCTGCTACGGCTGAGGTGGAAGTTCTTGCCGGGATCTGTCCGGTGTGCAATCAGTCGGCGAAAAAACGCTGCTCCGGTTGTAGCGCAGCGTACTATTGCAGCGTCGAGCATCAAAGGCAGGACTGGAAGAATCATAAAAATGTTTGCCATCCATTCAAAGTATGTTTTGCGGGCACACGGGAAAATTTATTATTATGCTCTGCGTCTCCAGAGTGAAAGGAAAATGCTGGTGCTTCATCTTTGCCGTAGTTCACCAAAATGTAGTTCTTGGAATATAGGGATGATTAATTCATAGATGGAATCATATTGACTTTGCTGTTTGACTTTTAATCTGATTAATAAAACAAGGCATACATTTTCTGTACCTTGTGATTTAATCTCATTTAGCTAAACTGAACATCCCTAGCATACATCACGAGAGTATCGTTCTCGTCCTTTTCCTCATTCGTTTCGGTCGTGATAATTTTATTCTATAGTGAAAAATTTTACGACAGCTCTATCTTTACGAGCACGCTACGGTGGACGACGTTTGGGGACGACGACGACGACGTTTCGCCTCCCATCTTTCGCGCGTGCATTTTTCTTCAATCATGAGCAGCTGTTACTGGTTTGTCGGTCCCGCAAGTACTCATATTTATTTATTTTTGCCGGCAGATCTGTAGTGACGAGCGCTATGGACGATACATGGTGGCGACAAAGGACATCAAAGCCGGAGAAGTCGTACTGAAGGAACCGCCGTTGGTCCAGGGGCCGGCGCAAATTACGGCACCGGTCTGCGTGGGATGCCTGCAAGTAAGTTTCTATTTTGTTTCCGATAAAAAAAAAAAAAGTTGGTGGCTTGCAGCAGAGAAAGTGAATGACTTTTGGGATGGAACAGCTTGTTGCTTTGTGTCCCTGGGCTGCCCCTGTGTTCTGCTGGAAAATGTATATTTGATCAAAACATCAATGAATGAATATTTTTCTACAAAACCTTCACAAGATGATTTTCTAGCCGCAGTGCAGTTGGTGTAACATAACAAGTTCTGTATACTTTTTATGTAAATCTGTAATAGAATCATACTTTTCCCGGTTGGGTGTATCAATCAAATATAATTTCCTTAATATAATACAGTAGATATTTTATCCCGTTTTCGGCAGCACGCTTCTTGTTTTTCATTTGCTAAAACGGAAACGTGCCAAGTAAGGATTTTTTTTGTTTTAATTGGCAGTAGGAAGGACAATGCTTCAAACAATATAACACTAATTTGTGTTAACTTAACTATGTTATTTCACCTTTTATTTTGGGTTTATTTAAGAGAAATTTAACCATAGGCTAGTTCATCTCAGGAAGGAATTCTGTTGAAAAACTTTATAATATTTTATAATATTTACAGAAAATTCATAATTTCGTGTTCGATGGTATTTGAGATCGAGTACAAAATCGAGCTTTTTTTCGATTTGTGCTAAAACGACGCAATATCATTAACAAATACCTAAACTCCCTAGCATGACGAATTTTACGCCAACTCGACTATAGAGTTGGCAGCCTCCTATCAGATTCCAATGAAACATTGTGGATGTAAAGATGTTGTCTACTTAACCAACTTTGCGAACATATTTTCCATAGAAATAAAAATCTAGACTGCCATTTGAACAGGGCGGGACATTTTTTCCAACTTTTTCCCCAAAAAAATATAACTCAAAAATTAGAAGACCTACAAAAATGCTTCCCAAGCGTAATTTGTGGAGAAATATCGGAGCTTTGATAAAAAAAAAAACTATGTCTAAACATTAAAAAGTGTAATTTCTACACTAAACAAACGTTATTTATAAATTTATATTTTTTTAAAGCTTTATTAGCGACATATTTATCTCATTGGCTAGTTCATCTCGTAAAAAATATGAATATTTTTTCTCAAAAATCATACATCCCAAGATGGGCACTTTTAAAGGCACTCATTTAGATGCATTGATTGTACGACTTTTCCCCGAAAACCAGTTCCCCGAAAACACTTTCCTCGAAAGTTTTATCTCCGAAATACGATTCCCCGAATGAACCAGTTCCCCGAAAGGAACGTTTTCCCGAAAACTATTTCCCCGAAAGAACTAGTTCCCCGAAAGAACTAGTTCCCCGAAAGAACTAGTTCCCCGAAAGAACTAGTTCCCCGAAAGATACAATTTACACCGTGCGATCTATTTAAATATGATCCTTGGGTTTGTTACAACTTATCTATATGAAATTGAGAAAAATATCTTTGCTGAATATTGATAAACAGAACAAAGTCGTTCAACAGCCTAGATAAAGTTTGTGGTTATGACTTGTTATGACATTTGGCGGTTTATCAAATTGATATCTGATTGTAGTGAGCATAAAGACTGAGCTTTGATATAAAGAAGGGAAAATTGTGTCAGTTTCATCAAATCTTTCGCTGGTTAACTACTTGTATCGAACAATACCACAATATACATATCAATGTGTGTCGTATTAAAGTGGACTCTACACGACTGTTTGTATTGACAATAATCGTATTGTCAATGCATTTTATATTGACGTCAATACATCGGTATTGACAATATATCTGTATTCACATCATCAATACTTTTAAGTATTGACAATATTTCTTACCGTGTGGGGTTCGCTTAAGACAATAGTTTGACTTTCGTTAAAACTACATGTAAAGGTCACACACTAAGATTATTTCACCGAAATCTGTGAAATTTTACCGAATTCTCAACAGCTGAACGTTTGGTAAACAGTTTAGTGATTTTTCACAGATTTCCTGTAATTTTTTACCGAATATTCTGAAATCGGTGTATGGTGTTTTCTTCTTGCTCCATACAATTTTGGATTCGGCCTATAAGGAGTCGCAAAGTGACTATAGCATGTATTGCATGGGGTCGCATGGTATCTTTTATTTATTAGTATGGAGTTTTTTTAACGTTCGTACCTATCCAACACACACACACACACACACACACACACACACACACACACACACACACACACACACACACACATACATGGTATGCAATTAGCTCCATGGAGCATACCAAGTTATACGTCAAATAAACAACTAAGATAAAAAGAAGGAAAAATTCTTGCAACAAACAAAATTTTCCCTTCTTTGTATCACAGCTCGTTCTTTAACGTTTTGAAGAATAAATATCTTACTAATTTATAAAACTGATATCTAATCGTAATCAAATTAAAAAAAAAAAACGAGCCGTTAGGGGCCATACATTAATTATGTCACGCGAAATTGAGGCAAAATTAATCAATCACAGATTTCTACACGTCCCTCCTTAGGGCGTGACATAATTTGTACATCACCCCTTATACAAAGAAGAAAAATCGTTGTTTGTTTCAGGAAATGTTCCTTCTTTGTAGCACAGCTCGTTTCTTAACGTATCGCATAACATCTACCCTAATAAAAATGTTATGGTTAATTTGCTTAACGACGTGTTCTGGGTATCATCCAAACCATTTGTGGAATAGTTCACACATTTGGGTTATCGTTCGTTTATGGTAATTTTTTATTAGGGTATCTAATTGGTTTTATCAAAGAAATATCATTTTCCTTTCTTTGTATCACGGCTCGTTCTTCAATTTTATTACAATGAGATATCGCTTTGATAAATATCTTACTCTATTCTTCAAAACGTTAAAGAACGAGCTGTGATACAAAGAAGGGAAAATTTTGCTTGTCGCAAGAAATTTTCCTTCTTTGAATCATAGTTCATTCTTTGACGTATAATATGGTATGATCCATGGAGCTAATTGCATACAATGTGTGTGTTTGTTTGATAGGTACGACCGTTAAAAAAAAAATCCATACAAACAAAGAAAAGATATCATGCGTCCCCATGCCATACATATTAGTCACATGGCGACTCCTTATATGGTGAATCTAAAATTGTATGCAGCACGAAGAAATCAATATGTGTTGAATAAAGACAAAAGTTTGACTTTCGGTAAAACTACATGGAAAGGTCAAAAGCTGCTGAAATAGGATTACACCGATTTCAGGAGCTTGACCTTTACATTTTGTTTTAACGAAAGTCAAACTATTGTCTTTATTCGACGCACATTAATATGTTTATTGTGGTATTGTGCGATACAAGTAGTTAACCAGCGAAGATGCGCAGATTCGGGGAAATGGTACATTCGGGGAAATTTATTTATGGATGAAAATGAAAATTTCAGGATAAAATCGATAAGGGATGAGGGATGAGATGAATGCAGATGGATAAGGAGGGATGAGGGTGGATGATGATGTGTCGTTCTCTTTGGAAATAATGTTATTCTAACTAAAACTTATTCGTGTTTGTACTGAATGGAAACTCAGCGGATGAATTTCATCTCAAAGTGGATAAATTTCATCCAGATCCCTTCCTAATAAGAATAAAAAAACGTTGGTACGAAGACTTTTGCTAATTAAGCATGTTATTTTTTCAGTACCGTGTACGTCCGTTAATCTGAACGACACTTCGTGCATACTAACGGGATTAATTTTTAATTTGAACTTCTAGTAACCCTACGACCATCAGAAAAGTGAGTTTCTGGTAGCCCTATTTGTTGTTTTGTTTTGATTCTGCGTTCCATGTCGTATCGTTCCTTTCCGCCTTTCTCCATTCCATGTGCTTAATGACGCTTGAGCAATTTTTCGTTTGCACGGAGTACAGATTAGCGGGGTTCAAACTGCATAGTGTCCAGATTAAGAACGGTCAGATTACTGTGGGTCCACGTTACTGGTATGAAAAATAAAATAATTTTGTGAGACGTGTTTTTCGGTGACCACAAAGCCGAATTAGGCTCAAAAACGTTCAAACGAAACCTGGTATTTTAGATAACTAGTGCTTATTTTTGGAATGGATTTACTTGTTCCGGAAACATGGCTGGTATTATTTAAAGATTTATTTTCACTAAAAGCTCACATAATTCTTTGCAAATCACTATTAGACAACATTTTTGTGGGTCTTATTATTGTTGAGTTATAATTTATTGTAGAAAAAGTTGAAAAAAGCTTTTGTGACAAATGTATGCTACTTGGGTAAGTCTAATATATTTACGTTCTATTTTCTATTTATATATATATATATTCAGGTAAATTCCTTGCGGTAGGAAAATGTGTACCTTTAGAAATCCAGTCATGTTGCTCCTACAACTGCGCGAGGTAGTTCTTTAGGAATATTGGCGGTAGTTCATCACACTATGATACACATAAATAGAGCGTCATATCTATATTCTATGTATGTATATAAAAATGAATTTCTGTCTGTCTGTTTGACCCTTATAGACTCGGAAACTATTGAACCGATCGGCGTAAAAACTGGTATGCAGGGGTTTTTGAGGCCGGGAAAGGTTCTTATGATGGTTCTATACCCCTCCTCCCTCTGTAAGGGGGGCTCCCTACAAATGAAACAGAAATTTCTGCATAACTCGAGAGCAAATGGAACCAAATTTGGCAAGTATAAGGAGATGTTCATAGGGGGTAACCCCTTAGACAAGAGGAGAGGCTTGGTACAATAAAGCATGCTTTTTTTTTTTTATTCGGCGCATATACTCAAGCTTATATTGAATCCCGAGCAAGGACGGGCACTCAGCTAGTATATATATAAAAATGAAATTCTCTGTCTGTCTATCTGTCTGACCCTTATAGACTCGGAAACTTCTCAACCGATCGGCGTAGAAATTTGTATGCAGGGGTTTTTGGGGCCGGGAAAGGTTCTTATGATGGTTCGAGACCCTCCTCTTCTGGGGTGGGGGAGGGGGGCTCCCATACAAATGAAACAGAAATTTCTGCCTAACTCGA